TGGTTTGGACAGCTAGGCTAATGTCCCATGAGGAAGATAATTCAATGACGCCAAAGTATTGTATCAAGTTAGGAAGATTCCCAAAGCAACACTAACAGAAGTCCTTAAAAATTCACATGTCACAGCATAAGTTTTACACTTCAAATATTATAGCAGTGTACTCTCTGGATTGTATGGAGAGAGGTAAACATAAGCCCTTTCAGTATTTTATAATCATATAGGTTTCGAAAAACAAAAACAAAACTTGTTGACTGGTAATCTATATAGAAAGTACCAAATGATTTTATTTGGTAACTGCCAAAAATTAATGCTTCAGCAGGAATGTTTCTAAATTATCTGTAACCACAAGGAGTTACCTTTGTGCCAAAGACCTAAGACAGCCCTCCACCCCCCACCCGATATGGTAAAAAAAACCATCAGGCAGCCAGTTTTCCCTCTCATAGAACAGCCAAGAAATTCGGACAAGAGAAATTTTACACCAGACGATATCTAGCAGGCACTGGAGCAACAGAGAGTAGAAGGATGAACAATGAGAATAAGGCTCATGACTTGGCTTCACACCTCAGGCTTCTCTCCACGCCCCCCTCCACTTGGGGGGTAGGTTTCTTTCTTTTTGTATCTGGCAGAGGCGGACACAGGGCTGGCTGGGTAAAAATGGCCAAAGTTGCCCCTTCAGAAAGTTAAAAGCAGACAAACACACCTGGTGTCAGAAGCGATTTCCATACTTGGGTTTGTACGTCTTACTGATTTTAACTATGATGCCTGTGGCCTGCGAGCAGTGGGGAGGAGAGGTAAGTAGGGAAGGCCCCAGGCGGGTAAAGAAAAGAGGTAAAAACCGACCGTGAGAAAGTGAGTGAGCCAGGGGATCCTGGAATGTCAGAGCTGGCGGGCACCTCAGACATCACAGGGTCCCGATCCCTTCAGTTATGAGGAGTAAAGAGCGGAGGGGGAAAAGGTGAGGATAGGGCGGAAACGGACTGGCTGTGTTTTTCTGGCACTCACTCCCCCCACCTGTGGCCTAAAAACACATGAGACGCTCACAAGGGGGCAAAGGAAGGAACAGTGAACTGTCCTCCCCTAAAGAGCCAACACTGTTCAGACAGAGCAAGGTAAAGAATCAGGAAATGTCCCCGATCAACAGGACACTGTGGGCTAGGAGAGAAATGGAAGGAAAAAATTCAGCTGTGTGTGGAGAACACGCCAAAGGATATGAAATATGACAGCCGATGCCAACTTCCTCCTTAAGACACAATTCCTAGAACCCGAGCCACGCAGAAAGGGCTGACACCAGCTGCTCCTAACCCACAGCAACAGTGAACCCTTAGCTGGACACTTTACACCTGGTCTACTTAATGCTGCCGGTTTGGAGGGTGGGGTGGCCTGGAAACATGTCTATGAGACCGCGTACAGACATTGTGGTAATCCCATGCATTTGCTGAGTGGTCGGAAGGAGGCTAACTCTCAAGATACAGATACAGTTTGCCGAAATGCAGTCCAAAACTGGACACTGCTCAAAGCTTCTGGCTGGACCGCAGCTAGATTTTAATGCTGTAATTTAAAAAAGCGCCACTTCCCTGTATAACACTTGTTCACAGGATCATTTCAGAGTCCACGTTTAATTTCTCTTAATTACTCTTACATGTGAGCCTTAGTCTTCTTTCAAAGTTTCTGGAAAGAGCATGTGACAGACAGCTGGGGAACTGGGAGCCGCCAGCTCAGAGATTCTTCAATGGCAGAGCTGCCTACAGGAAAACACTGGGCTGTGGGAGAGGGGGTGGACGGGATGGTTCCCCAGGCTCTGTCCAGCTCTCACGCTTGATGAATGGAAAATGTTCTAACACGGCACCAGACACAGCCAAGCGCTCTATAAAATGATTTAACAGAGAAGCTGCTGAGATTGTCACTGGAAGCTGAAGCAGCAAAACAGCAAAGGACGTTAACAGAGCCCACTGGGAGCCGACTTGATGTGTCTATGCGTGTGGCTGTTACCATTCCATGGTCAGGACGTCTCTGATGAACACTATTCTGGTCCACATTTGTGTTCTGGCCTTTTCTCAAGCCTCTTACCCATCTTCCATGCTGGGGCACGTGAGGATATGGGGGAGGAGGCACACCCTGTCCATGGCATCTTCAGCTAGAGGACCAGCAGCCACACCACCCTGACCAGGGGGCAGCTGCAGGGACCCTGACCCCGGCTTTGAAGTCTAGCTCTACTGCTCACTGCTCCTTGTTCATCATTCATGACCACAGGCAAGTTCCTCAACCTTCCTAAGCCTCCATTTCCTCAGGCAAAATGTGGACAGACACTTGCCCCCCTGGGAAGGTCATGAAGACCGGCTCTGAAAGCTTCTCTCTTTCTCGACAATCTC